ATAATTATGTTTTGTGAAATATTTTACAGAATACTCTCTGAACATGGCGGGATATCTATATATTCTCCTGTTGATGATACCTTCAACTTCAGGTATGTTTTAACCACTGAAGATCAGGGAATGTGCGTAGATTATGATGACGTAAGTCACAGGATTGTTTGGTCCAGATTATTTAAAGACCACCGCCATATAGCTGGAATATTGCTGAGTGCGGCGTTAAACAAAATATAAACAAATCAAGTTTGTTTTCATTCTACAATCGCGCATCAAGCAGTATATCTGTGGATGTTATATGACGCATCAAGCAGTAGATCTGTGGATGTTAGATGACGCATCAACCAGTAGATCTGTGGATGTTATATGACGCATCAAGCAGTAGATCTGTGGATGTTAGATGACGCATCAAGCAGTAGATGTGTGGATGTTATATAACGCATCAAGCAGTAGATCTGTGGATGTTAGATGACGCATCAAGCAGTAGATCTGTGGATGTCATATGATGCATCAAACAATAGATCTGTTGATGTTAGATGACGCATCAAGCAGTAGATCTATGGATGTTATATGTCAATTATTGATGGCGTAGAAACTTGTCCTTTCTCGAAAGAGCTCGTTGGAATATTATGACTCTTAGATGTATCATGTTCACTTTTGATTACATTTCTGGGACTTGGTTAAGTACTGAGTCTGTACTTTACTAATGAAATATTGCAATTGTTACATCTGCTGCTGTCTGAGACATTGTGTATTTGTAGTTCATGTGTATTTTGTTGAAGGAATTACACTGACTGGGTCATCAACGTCCGCCACGCTGGATCAGAGTTTCCAGTTTACCTGCACTGTAACAGGGCCATCTAACAGAAATCTCCTATTCTTCTGGGAGGATGATAAAACTGTTTGTACAATCAGGCTCGACCGATGTCAACAGCATTCAGCTACTCCAGGTTACAGCTGTTCTTGTGGACAGAGTGGAGTGTACCATATGGATATAACCAGTGTCAGTCTGACAGATGATGGGACATGGACATGTACACATTCACAAACCAGCAACAACGTCACACTGACTGTTTACTGTAAGTACGCTTCACGAAACTACATTAATTACATTACTGCATGTAATATACACCCAACATTCTGCTTTTTTGTTAGTAATGTTACCCGCATGTGAACAAGTGCACTTTGATGCAAGCACAATTTATCATAAAATAACTTCGTATGATCATGGAGTAATCTTTCTTTCATGTTGACCATCACAGCTCTGAATACACAATGCCATATAGAAAGTGATCAAATGTAACACGTTATATTTGGGATTACACTTTCACAGAAAGTTACAGATTCTAGTACTTTTCCTGGGTTGAGTTCCATGCGGTATTCGAACCCACACCCTCAGTCAGGCACCTAATCGCCAGCACACAAAGTCAGCCGCCTAACCCACTCAACTACTGAGTACACAAAGAACGTGGTCCAGACTACCAGTTGTCAGACTTCTATTTGTGGAAGTTAAATTGGCTAAGCGGCTGAGTTTGTGTGCAGTGTGTCGAATATGTGTGTTCGCATGGAACTCGCATCGCAACAAAAATATGTATAGACTGCTTCCTGTGGCACCGCACAGCTTGTAGAATGTTGCATTATGAACGGTGTTGGAGAAGAACTAACATACTATATCATACGATACTACGCACAAGGTGTGTGTGCTTTTGCCAGACCTTTATGCACTATTCTACATGTTCGGGTATGCACAAAGTGCTTCTCGAAAGAGGTGGTTTTGTGTATCAAGTGTATCAAACTTATTAATACCAAGGAAAACCTCGGAACATCTAAATAGACAGTGTTAATATTATTAAAAAATGAATAAATGCAAGAGATGATGGCTGGGAAACATTGAGGGCTTTGAGTAAATCAAAGATGCTGAATTAGAATCAGTGCGGAACCCTTTTTAACTGGAATGAAAACACATTTATAGAGGTCCAGATATACCCCTCTGTATACACTTATTGTTATGTAATTGGACGTGCGTTTAACCCTTTGTGCTTCCATATCCCATTATTCCATGGTGGCCTCTCCGGTGGATGTGATAGAGGATGTGACTGTGTGTCTGTGACTCTGCCTGCCAGATGTTCTGTTGTGTTTCAGATGGACCATTTAACAATGTGACTGTAGACAAGGACTCCCCGGTGACTGTGAGAGAGGATGTGACTGTGTCTCTGACTGCCAGATGTTCCGCTGTCTGTAACCCTGACTGTAGCTACACCTGGAGTAAGGGGACACAGCAAGTGTCTGACAACAGAGATCTTCCTGTAGGCAGCTTCAGAAGGGATCAGGAGGGAGAGTACAGATGTACAGCCAGGAACACAGCTACTGGGGCTACAGCAGATAGTCGGACTCTGACAGTGAATGTACAGTGTAAGTATAGATGTGTAGTACAGAGAGGGAGAGTACAGATGTACAGCCAGGAACACAGCTACTGGAGCTACGGCTGATAGTCGGACTCTCACAGTGAATGTACAGTGTAAGTATAGATGTGTAGTACAGAGAGGGAGGGAGTGTACAGATGTACAGCTAGGAACACAGCTACTGTAACTACAGCTGATAGTCAGACTCTGACAATGAATGTACAGTGTAAGTATAGATGTGTAGTACAGAGAGGGAGGGAGAGTACAGATATACAGCCAGGAAAACAGTTACTATAGCTACAGCTGATAGTCAGACTCTGATAGTGACTGTACAGTGTAGGTATAGATGTGTATCACGTGTAGTACAGAGAGTGAGGGAGAGTACAGATGTGCAGCCAGGAACACAGCTACTAGAGCTACAGCAGATAGTCAGACTCTGATAGTGACTGTACAGTGTAAGTATAGATGTGTATCACGGATAGTACAGAGAGGGAGGGAGAGTACAGATGTACAGCCAGGAACACAGCTACTGGAGATACAGCTGATAGTCAGACTCTAACAGTGAATGTACAATGTAGGTATAGCTGTTTAGTACAGAGAGGGAGGGAGAGTACAAATGTACAGTCAGGAACACAGCTTCTAGAGCTTCAGCTGATAGTCAGAATCTGACAGTGAATGTACAGTGTAAGTATAGATGTATAGTACAGAGAGAGAGGGAGAGTACAGATGTACAGCCAGGAACACAGCTACTAGAGCTACAGCTGATAGTCAGACTCTGACAGTGAATGTACAGTGTAAGTATAGATGTGTAGTACAGAGAGGGAGGGAGAGTACAGATGTACAGCCAGGAACACAGCTACTAGAGCTTCAGCTGATAGTCAGACTCTGACAGTGAATGTACAGTGTAAGTATAGATGTGTATCACGGATAGTACAGAGAGGGAGGGAGAGTACAAATGTACAGTCAGGAACACAGCTTCTAGAGCTTCAGCTGATAGTCAGAATCTGACAGTGAATGTACAGTGTAAGTATAGATGTGTATCACGGATAGTACAGAGAGGGAGGGAGAGTACAGATGTACAGCCAGGAACACAGCTACTGGATCTACAGCAGATAGTCAGACACTGACAGTGAATGTACAGTGTAAGTATAGATGTGTAGTACAGAGAGTGAGAGTACAGATGTACAGCTAGGAACACAGTTACTGAAGCTAAAGCTGATAGTCAGACTCTGACAGTGAATGTACAGTGTATGTATAGCTGTTTAGTACAGAGAGGGAGGGAGAGTACAAATGTACATTCAGGAATACAGCTTCTAGAGCTTCAGCTGATAGTCAGAATCTGACAGTGAATGTACAGTGTAAGTATAGATGTATAGTACAGAGAGGGAAGGAGAGTACAAATGTACAGTCAGGAACACAGCTTCTAGAGCTTCAGCTGATAGTCAGAATCTGACAGTGAATGTACAGTGTAAGTATAGATGTGTATCACGGATAGTACAGAGAGGGAAGGAGAGTACAGATGTACAGCCAGGAACACAGCTACTGGATCTACAGCAGATAGTCAGACACTGACAGTGAATGTACAGTGTAAGTATAGATGTGTAGTACAGAGAGTGAGAGTACAGATGTACAGCTAGGAACACAGTTACTGAAGCTAAAGCTGATAGTCAGACTCTGACAGTGAATGTACAGTGTATGTATAGCTGTTTAGTACAGAGAGGGAGGGAGAGTACAAATGTACATTCAGGAATACAGCTTCTAGAGCTTCAGCTGATAGTCAGAATCTGACAGTGAATGTACAGTGTAAGTATAGATGTGTAGTACAGAGAGGGAGGGAGAGTACAGATGTACAGCCAGCAACACAGCTACTAGAGCTACAGCTGATAGTCAGACTCTGACAGTGAGTGAGTGAGTGAGTTTGGTTTTACGCCGCTTTTAGCAATATTTCAGCAATATCACGGCGGGGGACACCAGAAATGGGCTTAACACATTGTACCCATGTGGGGAATCGAACCCGGATCTTCGGCGTCACGAGCGAACGCCTTAAGCACTAGGCTACCCCACCGCCCCCTCTGACAGTGAATATACAGTGTATGTATAGATGTGTATCACGTGTAGTACAGAGAGGGAGGGAGAGTACAGATGTACAGTCAGGAACACAGCTACTGGAGCTACAGCTGATAGTCTGACTCTGGCAGTGAATGTACAGTGTAGTTATAGATGTGTAGTACAGAGAGGGAGTGAGTGAGTCTAGTTTTACGCCGCTTTTAGCAATATTCAAGCAATATCACGGCGGGGAACACCAGAAATGGATCTTCGGCGTGACAAGCTAACGCTTTAGCCACTAAGCTACCCCACCGCCCCCAGAGGGGCAGGGAGATTACAGATGCAGAGTGCCGTAAATCGACAGGTCAGAAAGCAACCTGCAGATGTTTAGCCCGGGACTCAGCTACTGGAGAATCATCTGACAATCATGGTTAATAGGAGGTCAGGACGGACTATATATGGACTTCCAGGAACAAACCGCTTCTTATATTTTGACCCTGACAGTGTATGTTATAGTCAATAAAGTTGATGTTATCTTTTCAGGGTACCCAGCACCACCCACACACAACTGTCCCTCCTGGATAGTCCCAGGTCAGACAGTCAGCTGTACATGTCAGACATCAGACAGAGGTAACCCTGAAGGGACAGTCCACTGGATCAGTCCTGGAGGTCAGACGATCGCCTCATTCGGGTCTTCATCTGTGCAGCTCAACTTGACCTCCATCCCGAGATCTAACAAGGGGCTGACCTACATCTGTATGGCAAACAACTCTCTGCCCAGCTCGAACACTGATATAACTTACGTTCTCGAGATAGCTTGTACGTACTAAAGTTGCGGAACCATGATAGTTGTAAATATCCCCGCGATGCTCTATTTACTTTTCGCAAAATATCCTAACTCCCTACTTGATTTTCATCTGGACCCTATTACAAAATCTTAAAAGGGAACAACTGTCTATGTAGAAGGGTCAACCTTCCACTTATAACTGGAGGTAATTTAGGCCACATTGCAAACGCTACATGTTAGTGTTTAAACACACCAAGAAACCTTAAGAGTTTATAACCAGGCATATCGATCTACGAAATGGATTAACTAAGAAACGATATGGAGTGGGATGTCAGTAATGTCAAATAATTGCCAAGGGAAGCAATGATATATTTGAGATTGCACTCAGTTTATTTTACTGGGGTTCATGTTTTTGGCTGAGTCAGTATCTGAGGGTATGGGTTCACCTTAACCCCCCTCCCCTAAAATATACATTGACTGATTACACGTTAATGGTCAAGTCAAAATCGTACAACAAAAACTCGTAATATTCTTTAACAACTTAGGGCAGGCAGTACCGGGCACAATGAATGTATATACAAGCTACTAGAACAGTGTCCCTCTTTCTATGGTGCATTGAAAGTTTGGTTTTGTAGCTGAACATTATCCACTTAAACTAATGTTATAATTACAGATTTTGACAGCCCGCGATTGGAGTTTGACAAGGACGACGTAGAGGGTAATACTTTAGTTACTGTTACATGCACCGTGGAGAGTAATCCAAGCGCTAGGATGACGGTAGAGAACATAGGCAGTGAGGCAAAACCAGCATCAGGAACTACAAATAACCTCACCTTCACAACGAAGACGCAGTGTCAGCACAACAGGTTTCGGTGCACTGCTGAGAACAACCGCATAAACACTCAAGCATCTACTGTCCGACAGTTAAATGTTGCTTGTAAGTTTTCTTTTAGGCATTGTATAGTTATTGAGTGAAGCATATATTTCTAAAAGTCTTAACAGTTAAAGATGATAATGACACGTGGAGCTATTCCAGCTATAAGTAGTGGCATACATCGACATGACGTCACACAGGCATATTGATTACATCTTCTAGTTGTTATATCAGACAGGAGTAATATACATAACATGGCATCCATATCTGGTTTAAACATATTTTTATTCCGTCAATACAGAAACCTGGATAGGCGAACAAGCTAAGTGGCTTATATAAACGCAGCTCCAGTACACGGTTCCAATAAAGCTGGATACATGTTTGAAATAGTCCGACAAGAAAAGAATACATGGCATCCATATGTCTCATCAAATACAACATCCATGGGCAAAAGATTATTTTGAGGATTCCAATTTATAGGCAGCGACGAAGCAATACCTTTCTTTTCAAAATATTTAGAAGGTTCGAGTCACTAACAGAACCTAACAAAAAAAGATCCAGAGTAACACACCGCTAACAAACCAACATCAGGAACTACAAATAACCTCTCCTTCACAACAAAGACGCAGTGTCAGCAAAACAGGTTTCGTTGTACAGCTGAGAACAAATAACAAACATTTTGGAATCTAGTGTCCGACAGTTAAATGTTGCTTGTAAGTTTTATTTTAGGCACCGTATAGTTATTGAGAACATGATGTCTTTTTGCCATACGTCTTAACAGTAACTATTACAGATGTTAACAACCCTTAGCAATGTTCCAGCTATGATACAGCTGAAAGGTAAATAGTAACATAAATCGACAGAACTTCACACAGACATGTTGATCACATCTACTAGTTGTTTGTACTTCCTGATTGACAACAGAAGCAATGTACTTAATACGTCATCCATATCTCTCATCATATACAACATCCATGGGCAAAAGATTATTTTGAGGATTCCCATATAATCAGTGTAGCAACAGTTCTGGAATAAGTTTCTTTGCAATGGCTATAGAAGGTTCGAGTCACTAGCAGAAGTTAATAAAGAAAGATATCTCTTCAAACAAGTTCTAACGTTAATGAACATGAGTGTGATAGTCTAACAAGGACCATTTTCATAACCGGACTAGATCGTTGACTTTTTTCCCCTTATTATTGATTATTCCAGGTTTACCACGTCATGACACCAGCAAGCAAACAGACAGCATGGTAACGGGACAACTCCAGACAACTGTTTCACTTGTAGCCAATGTCATAGCCAGCCCAGTACCTAACTTCACCTGGTTCCATTATCAAGGGATGACCCCAGGACCAGTTGTTGTAGGTACAGGACGCAATGTGGTCCTCACTGAGGGTCTCCAGTCGGTACTTAGAGTGTACATCCAACGGGAGGAGGACTACGGAATTTATCATGTTGTCGTGAGGAACCGTGTGGGCAGTACTTCGCTGTTCTTCAGCTTGACAAAAGATGGTGAGTTGTACTGACACAATGAAGAGACGAGGTTGGGGAGGAAACAGCTTAGTCAGGGGAAGGGATTGGTAGTGGGGGACAACTGGATCTAAATATTAACACATTATCATTTCATAGAACATTTTCATAAAAGGTTTCTTAGAACGATTCATTGAATATTTTCATCGAACGTGGTCCAATCAGATGAATCATGGCGCAAACATACAGTCTCTGGGAAACCTGGAATGGGTGCAAGCTCAATGAGTGCCGTTACATGTGCAGAAAATAATGGGTTTCTGCAACACATACATGAATGTTGAAGAGATGGACACTTCAGTTGGCGCCAAGATCCTTTGTTCTTCCATATGTTTCAGTATCACCACTAGAGGCGTCATGCAATACCCTCCCTGTAGCTGCCGGAATGGGAGCTGTCAATGTGATACTGATTGGTAGTATTGTCGTCATTCTATACAGACGAAGGCTCTGTCAAGGGACAGGTAGCTTTATTAGCATCACTTTATTAACTTGACTTGTCCACCGTATCGAAATTCCGCACTAAACTGTCGCACATTCGTAAGATTGAAAACTATGACCATTGTGTGAATTTACGTCGAGCAGACTTTTAGTCTAACCGTTTAAATTAGTATTGTTCAGATTTGCTAAATGTACGGTTACATAGAGAACATGCACTTAGACTAAAAGGATGATCCGTTTCGAAGTCTTTGCCCTTGGAACTGTAATGCAGTTTTCCAGCAGGAGCTCGGATCCTCTTTTCTCTGTTGTTTCAGATTTGCCCGAGAGGAATATTAATGATGGTGAAACAACAATGGGCATACAACGAGATGCAGTAACGGAAGAGGTTTGTGTTACTTGGAATATCAAACCCATCAATTATAATCTTGTGAAGCATATATTCTTTGTCTTGTTCCACCAGTAACGTAGTAAGCTGTGATTGGTAGCATAGTTCAATTATTGGTGATGAATCATCTTGTTTATGTTTGAAAGATGACACATGAAATTCTTAGTTTATGCCAAAATGGTTCCTGTTAATCCTTCCTCAATTTGCCAATCTGCCCTACAGAGTAGTAAACATGGACGAGCTGTGGATGGCCCCTTGCCCGCTCAGACAGACACGTATCCCAGTAAGTAATACTTTTGCATAATTGTTTTGTCTGCTTAGATCGGGATTTGCCTTTCCATGGGAAATTTTCATAACACTTTGCTGCTTACATAGATATGTTTTACTGCCTGCAAAGACAGGTTTTCATTCAAATGGTGAGATCGATTTACAGCAGGCACATTCACAGTGATGTCAAGTCCTTCAAAACAGTTTTAATGTATCAGATAATTCAATGTAAAAGTATGATATCAAAACAAATAAGTAGAAGACATATGATATTGTATGACACATTGGTGTATATTATTACATTTCTTGACATAGATGCTTATTTTGGAGTTTATGAAATGGAGGCTGACAAACAGACATATACAGAACTAAAGGAATTTGAAACTAACAATGGTTCATCCACACAGGGTAAGTAGGAGGCACAAACGCAAACTTGCCATCAATGTGTATCCACAATTTCTACTGAACGTAAGCTTCTTGATTTGAAATAAATACCGCTATGGTTGCCACATCCCGTTTCTGACAAGTGTTATAACCATGCACATGTCAAGATGTAAGCTGGTCTAAATATTGCGCATGGGTGTTGAGAGCAGTGGAGGACGGGTACATATTAACAATGGGATGGGTACCTTGTGCCCGTTTGTTAAGATGCCGCATATCAACAATGTCAATGACGTGTAATGCCCACATTACGTTATCTTTGTAGGAACTGCAACCTATGAAGGTCTCCAAGCGCGAGTACCACAAGTATATGAGGACATAAGGAAATAGAACAGAAACAAACTGAGGTCAACACTCGTAATGCAAATACATCCTCGCTTTTCGTTTCGCTGTACAGGTTTTTTTCCTGCGCACTGTGTTTATGGTTATATGTCCTTTTTCACCTGTGTTATAATTGTCATTCAGCTTATTTCTATGTTTCTTGTGCGACTGTTTCACTGACTACACATGGGCATAGATGTTTAAATTGAACTGTAAATGTCTGTTTTAAGCGCCATAGCTTGTTTGCCCTTCAGCATGCTCAATGACGACATCTTACTTGATATACCGTTATGTCCGTCATGAATAACAACCCTAAAAAAACTGGATGCAGATGAATCCTTTTTCCTCGAGTATTTTGTCAAACGGTTTATTATCTTCGTTCAGGACAGTTCTTTTCTTGTAGCATCTTTACGGGAAAGAAATGACACAGCTATCCAGACCGAATGATGATTTCATAAACAAGATACGAACTTAACAAAATGGAGACGAAAAAACAGGAAGCAATATATTATGTATATTTGGTTATCAAACACTTTTTTATACTTTTCATCAAGCAATACTCAAACAGCTTCAGGTTTTTTTTGCCTAGATTTCACGTCTACATGTCTACTTTCACGAGAACGTTCACACGTAAGTTGTTTGTAAATTAGTGTTACAAAGTATAATAAATATAGTATATGTTTCCATGTATAGTATTGATGCATTCACAGTAGTAGAACTATGGCACATTAGATTGAGAAGTAAGGTGATAAACAACGTTCATTTCATTACATAAATACAAGCAAAGGTGCTTTATTGCACGACCATTGGAAGGTTTAAGTATTTATTCACACGCACTATTTCTTCTACAAGTATATGCTTTTGAGAACTGAAATAGTTAAAGATGTTTAACTGATTCACGTATGTGTGTATAAACACATCTATGTTTGTAATATCATGTTTTGTCGCTTTATTAGTAAATAATTCTTCACCCAAACCATGAACTACTTAGTGTTATGTTCTGACCGCTAGCTAAAGAAATGTGAACACACAGCCTATTGAGAAACTACATCAACACAAAACTGAAAAATAAATACATGTATCCCAAACTCAGCAGCCCGGGACGTTGGAGCTGGGTTAGTCTCTCGTACAGACCCTGAAGCAAATATATCCAAGAAAGCCCACACAAGTCTAGAAAATGTGGCAAGTCTAGATTTCCTCAGCTGAAAATGAAGAAAGTCTCAGGGCTCCTTTTCATTATATATTTTTTTTTCACTATGAACTTTTTCAGTAAAATATGTTCATTTCAGAGACTAGTTGTTAGTCTAGAGCTGGGTGTAAGATAAAGATAATCCACCCTTGCAGATCACACTGCCAGCACCCTGTATTAGCCGCACGTCTCGTTTATGAGTACAGCTGGTTTGCTTAATCCATGATCAACAACGATTCTCTTGTGAAGGTTGCCAACTCCTGGTTTCATGAGATTGACAATTGTGGCTCTATCAAATCATGAGATGTATATGTTATTCACCAAACAGAATGTGCACATATCTATAGATTTTACATTTAGAATTGGGTTCAATTTTCAAATTACTCGTCGTCATTTGTGTTCATAGTATCGGCATCTGCCAGTGTGTGCTGTTTGTCTACATGTCAATAAATATGCTAAAATGAGAATATATATACCGCCCGACACACCATGTGTACTCACAGCACGTATAAACACGACTACTGTTTGAAGCAGTGATAAATGATGGATTCAAATTATAATAACGGTATAAGTAAGAATAACAAACGTCACTGTTTTACACAAGCTGTTTTCCATGAATTAGTTGTGTCAACTGTATCACTCACATATTCAATATTTGCTCTAGTTCCTGACTTCCTTGTAAAGCCATACAGACGACTTGTGTGATCTGTATGATCTCTAAACTAACTAACGAACACATATCCAAAAGTGGGTGAGGGAGAGACTATATTGAATATTCGATCGAACACCTATGTTTCACCATGTTTTTGAATGTTATCATACATGTATTTGGATGTTACAGGAAAATGTAGAATATTACTTTTCCTGTCACTGTTGTGATAAGATTCATGCACTTATAACAAAAACAACTAATATCAGCACAGTGTGTTTTGTATGTGTTCGTGCAGGTGAACCGCTCTACCAGGAAGACTTCCGACTCTGTATTATATAAACGGGATTGATATATTTTTGGAATATATTTGTGTTCACAAAATGTTTGTGTACCTTTTAGCTTACTTGTACAGACGTGTTCTCCAGGAAAATAGTGTGTTCGTTGAGTTGTACGCCGCTTTTAGCAATAATCCAGCAATATCACGGCGAGGAACACCTGAAATGGGCTTCACACATTGTACCTATGTGGGAAATCAAACCCGGGCCTTCGGTGTGCCGAACGAACGCTTTAACCACTAGGCTACCCCACCGCCTCTTCAGGAAAAGAAGTATAAAACGTACCAAATGTATTTGATTTCAACCCTCGTGTTGCCTTGTTAATTACAGAGTGACGGATTATCCACCAATGCTGAGTCAACTTCAAAAAAAATATTTGTCCGTGACATTAAAGTTCTCGCTCTCTCACACACACACACACACACACACACACACACACACTCACTCACTCACTCACTCACTCACACACACACACACAAAAAATCCTTGACCTTCTGCACATTAGTTGAATTGCAAAAGTAACAACTGGATGTTCGGTTCATCGATTACTTGACTGTGTGTATTTTGATTACAGGCCACCGTCGCATGACAGAAGTAATTACATGTGTTGTCGGGCTGTAAATACATGTTAGGCTCATTGTTTGATTAGCCAGACATGACTTTAGCGAACACCTGGTGTCATCACGGACTTTCAGTGGTTCATTCATACTCACAGATGGTGTTGTTGATGCTCTGTAAACCTTGTTGATGACATTAAAGCTATTGTTCCAGTCATTCCAAACGATCTTCAAAATCCTCTCACTGTGTTATATGTCCAAATCTAGATGGGCAACAACAGAATATGTCGTTTGGAAATACACACAATCGGGAAATCTGCGCCTGGTCTTTGAGATAAGGGAAATGTAGGCCATAGTGAGAGTACATTCTGCACTGCGTGTGACGGGAAACATGTCTGGTGTGGGAGAGCAGCCTGAGGTTTGGGGGTTACCCACCTCTTGGGTATTCACTGTACTAGGAATCACATAAACTCATAAAATTATCACATATAGAATCTAATAGTGATTTTTTATTGTATTTTCAACTTGTTCAAGTAAAAGATTGAAAAAGGTATTCAAGAGAATTACATTTCCTAATGTCCAAATTCAATGGCCAAGATGATCTCAGATGAAGTTAAAGTTATCTGTGCTGACGTGAGCCAGGTCTCCCTGTGTTTGTTCAAGTGAACAATTGATTTGTCTTTACACGTGTTTGTGACTTGTGACAACGGTGGTGATGCCGTCAGCTATTCGCGAACAACGGTTTTATCATTACTATTTCACATTTGGAGTGAGTGAGTGCGTGCATTAAAATTTACGTTACATGAGCAATATGTTAGCCATATCAAGACGGCAGAGTCCTACGTCAACTATATGCATACTTTATAAAAAGATGTCATGTCTAACATTGATATATATACACATGTTTATGATACATTCGGCATCGCACAGTGTTCCTACTTTAATTTGAAGATTCGTTAATATTTTGAAAAGTGGATGTAGTTTCTATTTACATGTTAGTTCAGCCTCTGGCCTGCCTATTTTTGTTTCTGTTACAGATTTGGGATGTTACATAGGCGGAAATGAACTGGAGGGGGTCATAGCAATAGGCAGATAACTCTCCAGTAGGCAATCCGAGATTCTGGGGCGACAATGAGCCCAATCAGGGTGTAGGAGAACACTGTATGGTCCTTCATCGGGGACTGTTAGGGACTATATTAAATGTGACATTCGTATGATATACATATGTGAGATCATACTGTCATGATAATGTTGGGATATCAGGTTTCTTTGCCTATCCGGGGCGGTGGGGTAGCCTAGTGGTTAAAGCGTTCGCTCGTCACGCCGAAGACCCGTGATATTGCTGGAATATTGCTAAAAGCGGCATAAAACCAAACTCACTCACTCACTCACTCTTTCCCTACCCTTACAAAGTCTGCCATTTGAATTCGATTTAATAACCCCACCACACCAACTCGTTCTCAGTACGTTCTTGAAAAATGTTCGGATCGGGCTCGAACTGTGTGCGAACAGACTGGACGTAGTGGCACCTGTTTCTAGTGTGTGTACGACCTTTATGAACGGGCTCGGTCGGACTAGGGACGGAAGGGTGCTCCAGACATTTGAACATGTCCAACGTTCTGCCCGTTCTAAAGTGGGACGGAGTGACAACGTACTTAAAACGAGATTGCCGTACTGCGAACGTACCTGCCGTACTGCGAACGGAATTGACGTAGTGCAGTCGGGCATCAATTGCAATACCTTTGTGCACAGTTTCCACCTTGTCCATCCAGTTCTCAGATAGCCTTTACTCGACCGCACTACGTTGTTAGTTACTAGTAGTTGCTATTCTGAACAAATATGTTCACAACAATATGAAGAAGTTCGTACTGCGTTTCTACACGTTTTTAAAAGTTCGCAATGGGTTCTATTTACGTTCTATCCGTTGTTAGTACGTTTTTGTAGTTCTCACGCAGTTCTTACTACGTCAACACCATGTGCAGTACGGTATGACAAGGTTGTGGATAAATACATGCGTTTTTAACTCGTTCGTCATTTGGGATAGAGATTTACCTGTGAAACATGAACAAGTTTGCAGCTGTCAGCATGTTGAATGCTGGTTTCCTGCAATTTTTATTGGAAGTAGATCAAGAATACAATAAGTTGGTAGAGCAAGCAAGGAAAAGAATAAGAACTTGTTGGGGGAGGAACTGGCTTAAACATGAGAGGCGAATTCAGGCTCAGAGTGTTCAGCATCTGGGCTTGTGGATCTTGGGCTGGATTTCCCACGACCTGTCGACGTCTTTCTTGGTCTACCCTTCTTCTTCCTTGGAGGCATGGTGATGTCGATGTTTCCACCCTTAATCTGAGAACAGGAATAAGAATCGGCAAGAAGGGGGCAGGACGTAATTGCTATTACGATTGCACGCAGTGGGGACGCAGTGATAACGTACCGCGAACGGGAAGAACTGTCCGAAAACTTGTTGGTCGAGTTACGAACGAGTTAGATCGGGTTATGCCTATAAAGGACGGTATTGAACTGCTTGAAAACGTTGTTCACAGGGGGTGAACGGGCAATTTTACCCGATTTAAACGTAATAGCAACTGTCTGGGGACGGGGTAACGACTAGACATACGTACTAACAACTGTTTATGATTGAACGTAATTTTTACAACAGTTACACGTTCTATCCCGTTCGAGTCCGTTTTACAAATTGAATTATTTTGGGACGGGACAGGACGTACTAAGAAC